GTAGAACTATCTGGGAAGAAAGCATGATCTTGAAATATTTATTCTTTCCAAAAATGAGAATTCCATATTTCCCAAGTCTTTTAATTGTTTAGTCGTTTGTTTGAGAAGATGGAGGAAATTTTTTTCCATTATTTTATTTGGATCAGAGCATATCATTACACCCAAATACTTCATACCTGTTGCCCAGTCAAATTTGTATTTACCTGTCAAGAACTTTTTAGATTTCACTGTGACATTATTTAGTAAAGCTGTGGTTTTATAAAATTAAGCATATAAGGTGGCTGTGATGAGACCAATCTCACCACTGTGCATTGGAGGAGTCTGGTTGCCCGCCTGCTGCCTTTAGACTATGGCCCCATGTTAAAATGCTTGATTTTCCACTGCAACGACACGAAAGCCGGGTCATTCGGTGCTTGCCCTGTTTGAGCGGTGATACCCCAGATAGCTATGCCATGGAGCCCATTCGTATAATGAAAGACTATGGGAAAGACTTTGGTTCCATGGCAATTGAACTGTATGTGTGATCTGAGAGCCATTCAGTAATAATGTGCGCTCAGATCTGAGCTATCTGGGGATATGTTGAATGTACCTGTTTTATGCAATGGCTGCACAGTTATATATTTTTATGTATTGTCTTTTGCTGCCATGTGTTCAATGGAGTTTTGCCTCTGTCCTTGGAGATAATTGGATTACTTCCCAATTATCTCCAGGATAGAAGACTATGTGGAACTGGTTTTGGGCAGAAAAGCCATGCTTAATTTGGGCACAGACTATGGTCCGATGTATGGGGCTTATCTTCCCTTGGTGGGCTAGGCTGCAGCTGGGGAGGGGGGGCGAGGTTCTCCCTGCCCAGTAGAAGACTCTGCCATTGGGGAGCAGGACCGGCTGTCCGTACTCCATGTAGCTTGGGCGCAGAGACCATGGTCCCATCTGTGCCAGTGGGGAACTTAGTGTCTCCCCTCGGTGGGCTAAGCTGCCGCTGGGGAGAGGGGGTAACAAGCTCCTCCCCCTTACACACTTTCAGCCGCTGAGGACGGGAGACACTTCTCTCCACTCCCTGCATTTCACACTGCCGCTGGGGGAAGGAGACACTGCTCTCTATTCCTTGCAAATCACACTGCCGCTGGGGATCTGAGCCGACCACCCAGCATCCCTGTAGCTCACCCTGCCGCTGGGGAGGGAGGACGCTGCTCTCCACTCCCTGCAAGATACACTGCCGCTGGGGAGGGGAGACGATGCTCTCCACTCCCTGCACTTCGCACTGCAGCTGGGGAAAGGAGACATGGCTCTCTATTCCCTGCAAATCAAGCTGCCACTGGGGATCTGGGCTGACCGACCAGCATCCCTGTAGGGCCGGTGGAGAGACCTCGGTCCCATCTCCACCTGCCGCCTGGGGTTGCTCTCAGTAAATCTCTACAATATCTTCCCAGCTGAAGGGGTCTGGATCTGGGTCTCCACTTCCCTGCTGAGCCTTCTCACTGGAGTGGAACAGATCTTGGTAGTCCTGCTCCAGCTCCATCTCTTGGGTCATTAGGTAGACCAGGTCTTGCTCAATCTCATGAAGGTCATCCCAGTCATACCTGCTCTCCCTCCACTCAAAGAGATCATTGAACTGGGTCTCTTCAAGGCTCCCAAAGTCAGGTTCTGAAAAAGTCTCCCATAACAAGCCAGGACCATCAAAATCGTCTCCCTCTGGCTTGTCATGCTCTGCTCTCCGGGGTAGGTACTGAGCTTCATCTTCCAGCCACATCTCCCGCCATACCAGGTGCTTCAGATCTTCTACCCACTCTTCCAAGGAAGGGCATGCGCAGGGCTAATCGGTTCTGCTGTCTCTGCACATCCTTGGGGAGTCTCTCGTCCCGCAGATATTCCACAATACCCAGTGCCTGGTACCAGATGACTTTGCGAAATGCATCTCGGTCATCCATGACACCCTCATCGTACTCCACTGCTGGTTCCATCCTGGTGCTGTCAGGGTCGCTGTACTGGGACATGTGTTGCCCTCAAATTGTAAAATCCACGGAATGGTGTCTCCTGTAGCTGTCCTTCTGGCTGTAGGAATGATCCCGCCGCTGCCACCTATTGTAACGGCACCATCAGGCCAAACAGGAAACCATATGAATGCCGTAAACAGCCGAATAGGAAAAACCACGAATAGGTTTACACTCCTAGCAGTCGAACTGGAGCAGCATACAATAAATCCCTCTCCCCCTCCCCCAAGAACGAGACAAGGCTCTGTTCCTGCTTGACCCTCAAAACAGAGCCTTGCCTCATTCTTGGGGGGATTTATTGTTCCAGTTCGACTGCTAGGAGTGTAAACCTATTTGTATGTCTTTTTTTTTCCTATTCGGCTGTTTACAGCATTCATATGGTTTCCAGTTCGGCGGATTGTTGTCTTTGGTAGCTGCCTGTATATCTGGAAGGGGAATATCTCCTAAACGGCTTAACTCCTCTTATGCCTGGGGGTGCCGTTACAGTGACACCTCAGAGAATTGTTCAAAAACCTCAATCGTTTCTTCTAAGGAGTTTTCGGGATCCTCTAAAGCAGGGTTTCCCAATTAATTTTTCCCATGGAACCCTCTGACATAGTGAATTAACATCGTGGAACACCCTCTCACCCCCATAAAAAAAATTACAATTGTGCCGTTTTTTATGTGTCAGTGTGTCAAGGTGTGTATATCTGTGCTTCTATGTGCCAGTTGTATCTCTGACACACAGATACACACAGGCACATAGTGGCACACAGATACACACCTTGACACACAGTGTTTCTGTGTGTGTATCTATCTGAGTGTCAAGGTGTGTATCTGTGTTTGTATGTGCCAGTGTGTCTGAATCTGACACAAGGATACACACACTGGCAGATAGTGGCACACAGATACACACACTGACACACATACACACACCTTGACACATAGTGTGTATCTGTGTGTCAATGTGTGTATCTGTTTCAAAGTGTGTATCTGTATTTTTATGTGCTGGTGTGTGTATCTATGTTTGTATGCGCCAGTGTGTGTATCTCTGTCAGTGTGTATCTGTGTTTGTGTGTGTGTGTATATATGTATATGACACACAGATATACACACACTCAGATACACACTGACACACACATCTTGACTCACAAACACACAATCAGATACACACAGTGACATACACACACTTGCACCCACAGATACACACACTGACACACTCAGATACACACTGATACATACTGGCACATACACACACACTTAGATATACACAATCCTTGACACACATGCACACACACTGACACTCAGACACACATACTATTTGACAGACACACATACGCTCTCGGTGCAAAGAACATATACAATACTTAGTGTAATGAGTGGAACACCTCCTGATCTTCCTGCAATAAAAACAATAAAAACATATACATAGTATATACAAGAAAAATAATGATCAGTTCAAAGGCATTGGGTCACTCACAATATGCAGAGCCACATGAAGCTGGCTCTGACTTCAATGGCAGGTGAATAATAAGCTTATTCCAGCTTTCAATTTCCCAGACAGGATAGCTCCTTTTCAGACCTTCAATAATTTCCAGGATATCCAATATGTTAGAAAATATAAACTTTACTGGAGATAAAATAACATAACATAGGAAACAGAAATAAGCTTAAAATACTATAAAGTGAAAAAAGTCCACAGCACTAACGCGTTTCGACCTCAAGGTCTTTGTCCAAGTGTGTGGTAAATGGTGATCTTCCTTTCTTTAAATAATATACGAGGTACCAATTTGGCGCCGTTTGCCGGCATCCATCATCACTTCTGCGTCACGTGATTCTCCGTCCGATCACCTGATTCTGACGTTGTACATATTGATGTCACTTCCGGGTTCTCAGTCTTCCTGATCAGCTGATTCCGACATAAATACTGATGTCACTTCCAGGTTCTCGGTCTTTCCTAAACATCAATAGCACTAACAATTTCGCCATGTTTAAAGTGGGGAAAACACCTATATAAAATTACACTTCTAATAAAATAATACATTAACACATATAATGCCAAATTTAATGTTACTATTTTTAATTGCAAAATAGACATTTACCAAATAAAATATTCCAAAATATACAATGTTTAATAAACATCTATAATATAAGGAGGAGGATCCCCTTAAAGTGGAATCCTCTTATAACAAGAATTTAAATAAATAATTAATTTAGCTGCAAAATCACGTGTTTAAATAAAATGATACAATGTATTTGATATAGATATAGCATATCTGTAGGAGACTAGAAAACAAGAAGAAAAAAAACAAAACAATTATACATAAAATGGGAATCCAAAATACAAATTTATAAATATATAAAAGTGTGTATATTAAAAATAATGTTTTTATTGAAGATTCAGAAAAATATACTATTAGTGACAATTTAGATGATATGTGCTCTTTATTAGAAAAAACTATTGTCAAAAGAGATATATGGGAGCATGCACTTGAATCTTTTGCTACTACAATGATGAGAATTATTATAGACCAGAGGACAAACAATTTGGAAGTACTTGATAAAATTATTAGGGAAATCCATAAAAAACTTGAAAAATTTATTGGTACCAGTGATTTTTTATCTATCACTGGACAAATAACTGGAGGATTAAATCACCTTGAAAGTCAGGTTATTCTAAATAAAAAGAAGAAATATCATAGAGTTTTAAATGATTATGCTACCAATTGCATAAGGAAAAAACCAAGAGCAACAAAACCAACTAAACCTAAAATAAATGTTCATAAAATGTATAAATCTGAAACTGAAAATTATCACCAAAACATTAAATCACCTGTAGAGGGACCCTCTAGAAGAAACTACCAAACCCATGATTGGGTGGAAGTAAAGAAAAAGAATAAATGTAGGAGAGAGGAGCAATATAGAGAAAATCCAAGCCAAACTTGGCGAAAGTTTGATAATTATGAGAGACATCTAGGTGCCTAAAAACAAGGATACGTGAGCACATTTATAATATTAGGAGGGTTTTTTAAAACATAACGTATCAATAAACTTTTAAATCATTGAGGAGATCCCTCTGGACTCCAATTCTGGGGCATCCAAAAGATAGAAACCCATTGGAGAGGGATGTCTGGAATCGGCGTTGAGCCGAGTGTTGAGTGTATGTGTGCATGTAGGAGTGTATTTGTATGTACAGAGAAGAGAAACTCGACGGGAGTTTGTTAATCATGAAAGGCCATCTACCCCACAGAGAAAGGAGGTTCATTAGAAATTAGAAATTTGGGAGAGAATGTAGAAAAATCTTTTTTAGAGAGAATTTGGAGAGGACCACCTATGAGAACCCTTATAGCAACCAAAAACAGACATTGGGATATAGAAGACGGGGAAATAGAGGAGGGAAGAAATTGGAAAGACCAAAAAGGAAAAATGATGAGGAGATGAGAATTTTTAATTTATCTAAGTTTTTTTTTAAATTCTGCACATACTGGGATTCTGAATAAAGGTTTAAAATTTGTGCCTAGCTGCACTTTAAATAAATTTGAGGCATATACAGATATCAATAGATTTATGAGGAGAATTTGTATAAAAATAATTTTAAACAATAGACCAACTAATGGAACCGATATTATTAATCAAACCTCAGAATATGGGCATACTGATCTGAAAACAGGCATCTAAATTGTATCCTATCCACCTTAAGTCAAATTACATGAAAGTATTTAATTTGAAAAAATCAAATTAAAACGAGAACCTTTTTTATTTTTTTTTATTTTTTTTTTAAATAGATGTTAATAGTTATATCCATACAGAAAGTTGCCACCATCAACCATGGTTGGAAAACATTCCTAGAGGACAATTTCTAAGACTTAAACGAAACTGTACTGACTTAAACTCTTTTAACAATCAGACAGATATCCTCAAAAATCAATTTTTGAATCGAGGATATAAGTTGGAACATCTAAATAGTGAACAATATAAAATTAAAAAGTTAGATAGGAATACCCTCCTCATATACAAACAGAAAATAGTAGAGACAAAGAAAAGACAACCACTAATTTTTAACTATAATAAAGACCAGAAACAATTAAAAAGGATTTTAAATAAAAACTGGCATATTCTCCAACAGGACCAAGAAATTCAACCATTTTTGGAAAATAAACCAAAAGTTGTATTTAGGGGAGCAAAAAAATTAAAGAATATACTTACTTCAAGTTATATAGATATCCCTAATACTAATTTTTTAGAGTAATTTAAATACAATAAAGGATTTTTCCATTGTGGTGACTGTATGGGCTGTAGCAATTATAAATATCAAAATAGGAAGGTAGAACATTTTAAATCTAGGGTGGGCAAAAAAACATAGTATTGATTAATTTATTTCTTGTCAATCAAAAAATGTGATCTATCTACTCATCTACTCAAATATTGGCAAAACATCTAGGTGCCTAAAAACAAGGATACGTGAGCACATTTATAATATTAGGAGGGTTTTTTAAAACATAACGTATCAATAAACTTTTAAATCATTGAGGAGATCCCTCTGGACTCCAATTCTGGGGCATCCAAAAGATAGAAACCCATTGGAGAGGGATGTCTGGAATCGGCGTTGAGCCGAGTGTTGAGTGTATGTGTGCATGTAGGAGTGTATTTGTATGTACTGTTACCATTGGAATGCAGTGGTGTACTTGTGTGTAGTGTTTGCATTTTAATGCAGGGATGTGTGATTGTTTGTAGTGTTGGCTTTTAAATGCAGTTGTACTTTTGTGTGTAGAGTTGGTGTTTGTATATAATTTTAGCATTTTAATACAGGAATGTGTTTGCATGTAATGTTTCTATTTGCATGCAGGGGGGTGTTTGGATGTAGTGTTGTCTTTTAAATACATGTGTACATTTGTGTGTAGTATTAGTGTTTCAGCAAGCTGGTGTGTTTGTAATGTTTGTGTTTGCAGGGGTCTGTATGCATGTTGTGTGATTTCTATAACACATATACACATACACATTAACACACAGATACACACATGCTCACACTGACACATGCTCACACCTTGACACATACTGGCACATACACATACACACACACACTCAGATACACACCCTTTGACACACAGATACAAGCACTTTGATATACACACAGGCACATATACACACACACACACTAACACAGGTATATACACACACACACTCAGATACACACATACATAAAGGTATAAATGCAGGGGTGTATATGTGTACAGTGCTAGAGATGGAATGTAGGAGTGTATTTGTGTTGGCATTAAAATGCTGGGATGTATGCATTACCACACACTCAGATGCACACTTACACACACACCGAAACACACACATAGGTGCACATACAGGTGTATGAGGTATACATACACACAGAAACACTGACACACAGACAAACACAGCCAGATACACACAAGGACATAAACACAGCCAGATACACACACATATATACGTGTACATTTACATATTTTAATCTCTGCCTTCTAGCAGCTCTTGGACAGCAACTCCCAGCAACCTTGGCCAATATAATGTCTCAACTCTGTTCTTACATACCATGGTCCAGAATTTGGCAAAAGTGACATTTGAAAATGGTGTACAGACTTTGATAACACGTGATGCAATAATATTTTAAAATAAATACTTTTTAAATTTATATTAAATAGGGAACTGTCAGGTTCTTCTAGGATTTTTAACATGTACTTATTCCCTGTGTGTTACATTACAAACACCAACACACTTAAATAAAAGTGATATCAGAAATTAGCAAAACAAAAAACAAAACATATTTAGCCAGCCTCCTGTCTCCTTACCTTTTGGGTACAGAAAGGTGGCTTCCCTGGTGTCCAGTGGGAGCTTGCTGGCCCAGGCTGATGGGAGTCTGCCATCAGCTTTCTCAGTCCCTCTCCCCAACACCTCCATGTGGTGTGTGCCTCCTCCCCAGCGGCACTGAGGAGGAAGTGATCAGTTCTTACTGGGAGGAAGCAATCTGACCTCACTTCCTCCCAGCATGCCCAGGAAACAAAGAGACTCACAGGGCAGTATGTGAGGGGGGCTAGCTGTGAGTATGTAGTCAGCCACCCCACATATAACAGGGGCCCGTGCCGGTCCAGAGCAGTATTAAAGGGCTGTGGCCCCTGATTACCGCAGGTGGCCCATGGGGCAGCTGCCTTAGGGCCCCCAGGAGTAACTGGGCCTGGGGCAGCTGCCCCTTTTGCCCCTCCTTAAAGACGACCCTGCTTGTTTTCATGTTTGGTGCCTGTTCTAGCCTTGCCTTGCTTCTGTACTGGATACATGTCTGCTGCAGAGCCTCCCTATTCAGCTCCTGGGAGGTCTGCTTAATTCCAAGTTCCTAGTTCCTGGGATTTGCTGTAGCTGCATGAAGGTTCTGGTATGTAGCTGCACAAACGCTGGTGCTCAACACCAGGGGGCGTGTGGTTTCCCTGCACCGGGCCCTGTAATCCACTGCCATGCTGAAGTCTCCCACTTCTCATCAGGCACTCAGGGGTCCCGGTCTCCGTACCGCTACCCGTGACAGACGACATATTATTCCATCTCCAGACTGCTCTCACAGACGGAATTGGTACTACCTTCTGGAATCACGGAGAGTCAACCTCAAGTAATACAATTCCCACGATTTGAGATTGAGTTGACCAAGTGTATCCTTTTACCTAACACGATAGACTCAAAGCCATTCGCTGATAACTCAGACGTACTCTGCGCAAGGACTCCACCCCTTTCCGCATCCTGGCTCGTGTGGTGGGACTCCTGTCCTCATCCATCCAGGTGATTGCACTGACTGTAAACCCATTATGTGCGGATGGGTCACACTTACAGCCATTGGATACCAGTAACGCCCGAAGGGAGGGACGAACTCCATTGTGATTACTTCACATGCAGGAGTGGAATGGCTACATATTGGTGGTTCGATACATGCAGAGCATGATCCTGGAATCTTACAGAGATGACAATTGACTGACTCGCAACACCACTCTACGTGCAGTATGCTTACCAGGATTTGACAACCTATGGGCGGACTGGGTTCCCCTACTCTGGAGGGATGTCAGCAGATGGGGACTGAACTTCTCAATATTCGGCACACTGTGGACTCCGCAGGGTCTGCTCCAGTTGAACAATTTGCATCCTGGTCCAACAGGCAATTCCAGAACTGTTTCAGGTGGCTTCGGGATCCGGAGTACAAGGCAGTGGACGCTTTACTTTGGGATTGGACGTTCCAAGGAACCTATGCTCTTCCTCTGTCCTTCAGATTGGTGAGAGTCCTTCATCATTTGCGGATCCACAAGCTCGCTCTGTTGTTCGTCAATCCCTGATGGCAGAGTCAAGCATTGTATCCGGATTTACTGGAAGTATCTCAGGAACCCCCCTGCTATAATCCTTATTGTATCTATTGACCAACACTCAAGGGGAATTGCATCCACTGGTCCTCCAAAGACCTAGTGGCCTGGGGCCCCAGGCAATAGAGGGAGCCACGATTCTACATGGAACGGATGGAGTAATTGATGTATGGAGAGGGACATCGATCCCTTTTTGGCACCTGCCGTGCAAAATTTCTTATCCCATCCCTTTTCATTGAGAATGTCGTATCACCCTATCAATGTTACATATTCGACTATCTTGGTGGCTCATGCCCCCTACAGGGGACTCTAATAGGCCAGAACCCTCTGGTCTGTCACCTTCTAGGGGGAGTCGTCTGGCTAGACCACCCGCTCACAAATACTCGCGTATTGCGGACATGGATCTAGTTTAAAATTATCGTTGCGTATGGCCAGACAATATGAAATTGTCTTTGTGCCAACTCTTGGCTATACTTACACTTTTTTGTCCTTTTCTTTAGATGGATTGCGGACGTTCGAGTTGGATACACAGGCAAAGAAGGTTTGAGGGCCCTGCTCAATGACCTTACATGCTAGAGGGAGTGGGGTAAAGTGACTAGAGTTGAGCGAACCCGAACTGTAAAATTCGGGTTCGTACCGAACATTAGGTTTTTTTGGACCCCGGAACCGAACATTGACATATCAATGTATGTTCGGGTTGGAGTTCGGGGATTTAATGGAGCGTTTTCAAAGGCTGCAGGGCAGCCAATCAACAAGTGTTTGACTTGAGTGCCATTAGAAGCCATTACATCCATGCCTACTAATGTTATGGCTGTGATTGGCCAGTGCAGCATGTGACCCAGCCTCTATATATAAGCTGGAGTCGCGTAGTGCCGCACGCACATGCGGTCTTATTAGTGTAGGGAGAGGATGCTGCCGCTGATAGGGACAGCTTAGGAAAGAATTCTGCACACTAGTACATTAGTGGGGTGGGTGCACTTCATTTTCTGAGAGTCAAATAGAAGCTTCAAATACCACGGTTACATTTGAGTTTTAAAAAGTAATTTTTTTTGGGGGTGTGAAATAGTACATTAGTGGAGTGCACTTCATACCTGAGAGTCAAATAGAAGCGTCAAATACTGCTGTCACATTGCAGTTTTAAAACTTAATAATTTTTGGGGTCCTAAACTGCTAAATAGTATTTTAGTGGGGTGCACTTCATATTTGAGAGTCAAATCAAAGCGTCTAATAGTGTGCTTACAGTGCAGTGGTAAACATTTTCTGGGTGCTAATCTGCTGAATAGTACATTTTGGGGCATGCACTTTATATGTGAGAGTCAAATACTGCAATTACAGCGCAGTTGTAAACATTTTAATTGTTTTGGTGCTAATCTGCTAAATAGTACATTTGCGGACTATACTTCATATCTGAGAGTCAAATCGAAGCGTCTAATAGTGCGCTTACAGCGCAGTGGTAAACTTTCTTATTTTCTATGTGGTAATCTGCTAAATAGTAAATTTTGTGGCCTGCTCTTCATATCTGAGAGTCAAATCGAAGCATCTAATACTGCGTTTACAGCACAATTGTAAACATTCTAATTGTTTTGGTGCTAATCTGCTAAATAGTAAATTTTGGGCGTGCTCTTCATATCTGAGAGTCCAATCGAATCGTCTAATAGTGCACTTACAGGGCAGTGGAAAACATTATTATTTTATGGGTGTTAATCTGCTAAATAGTACATTTTGTGGCCTGCTCTTCATATCTGAGAGTCAAATCGAAGCATCTAATACTGCGGTTACAGCGCAATTGTAAACATTCTAATTGTTTTGGTGCTAATCTGCTAAATAGTACATTTGCGGACTATACTTCATATCTGAGAGTCAAATGGAAGCGTCTAATAGTGCGCTTACAGTGCAGTGGTAAACGTTCTTATTTTCTGTGTGGTAAAACATTCTAATTGTTTTGCTGCTAATCTGCTAAATAGTACTGTTACAAACTGCTATTTGTAACTGTCCCTTTAAATGGCAAATTGCCATGCTTCCCTGGGTTGTGGAGACGCCTATTTGCCAGCCTCCTCCAGCATGACTATGGCCCCTGGGAGATTGTCAAAACTTGTGGACTTTTATTGGGTGTGTATGGCCCTTTAAGACAGTCAGTGGGCATATTGGGGCTTATGGACTTTTTATGGGACTGGTGCTGGCCCTTTAAGCACCTTTTTGGGGCATAGGGAAAATTGGGACACTGCCCCTTTAAGACGGTGTCCTCAGACTTGTTTGGGACACTGCCCCTTTAAGACTATGTCCCCAGACCTGGTTAAAACCCTTTGTTTCTGGCTATTTCCCACTTGGTTCAGTAAATGGGGCTTACTGAACCAAGTACCACACAGGCGGACCACCTGTATTGGGAGTGTGTCGGCAATTTACCTCACCGAAGCTGCGGTTAACCGCAGCTTAATTGACAATGCTGGGTGGCCTTTGTTCGTTTGCCGAACACGTGGCGGCAGCCATCTTTGTTCATTCGCACGAGGTCAGCGGTATGTGTAGCCAAATTCATGGAACTAAAATCGGCTACACATTTCCGCAAACACCGCTGAGCTCTACCTTTTCCCACAAGGATTTTGCAGCCGGCGATGGGACTTTTTTCAGCCTGAAATAGACCGACCGCACAGCCCAAATCTATGGAACTGTTTTGGGCAGGAAAATGTGCTTGAGGTCGGTCATAAAGGGACCTCCAGCTAAATTTTTAACCCCTGGATGGATTTGTCTGATTTTTGGTTATGTTTGTATTTGAAGGTTGCTGATTCTAAATATGTATTTTTTATGAAGATTGGAAAAAGTGAAAAAGTGTAGCTTTAAAGTTAGTGCATGGATAAAAACCGTATTTTTACTGCCGGTGTTAATTATGTTAAACCATTGTGTAACATAATTATATCACAGGCAGAGGGGAGGATTTTGTATGTAATTGCTGGGAGTGTTTCTGTAATATCCGTGTATGATTGGTTGTTGTGTAAAACCCTGTGGGTGGTCCTATCTAAGGGAAACCTGCATAAAAGAAGGTTCTTTTGGTGCCAATAAACAGAATGACTTGACCCTCTAACTTGCAGCCTTGACTCATGTTTGTAGGGGACAGCTATAATCACTACAGGGATTGCTATGCTCTTCATACTCCCTTAGCTACTGAGCTCTTGTAAGAGCTCTTGTTCCTGATCCTGCTTCGCTCTACAGAAGGAAGAGATTCACCTACTGAAACCTGCAGCCTGGTCGTAGGTCCAGGGTGGATAGCAGACAGCAAGATCCCAGCCCATCAGCGGCGGTTCATGGAGTCAGCAGTACTTATGGTGTCTACGCAGCAGTTATGGTGTCCATGGTGCTGATGGTCCTTTGGTGAGCGCTAGGAGCATCCTTTCTACGGTCCAACTTCCAGCCAACCTGGAGGCAACCGTAACAAGTACATTTGCAGCCTGAGGTGCACTTCATATCTGAGAGTCAAATCGAAGCATCTACTAGTTCGCTTACAGTGCAGTTGTAAACATTCTAATTGTTTTGCTGCTAATCTGATAAATAGTACATTTGCGGCCTGCGGTGCACTTCATATTTGACAGTCAAATAGAAGCGTCAAATAGAATGTTTACAACTGAGCAGTAAGCGCACTAATTGTTTTGCTGCTAATCTGCTGCTTACATTGGAGTTTTAAAAAGTAAAAAAAAAGATTTGGGCACTAAACTGTATATTTGTGGTGTTCACTTCATATCTGAGAGTCAATTTGAAGCATAACTTTTATTCGAATTTACTACATCGGTCACTTGTAATATTGTTTCACACCTACAACACTTGTTATACAGATCTAAGTGATAGAAAACATCAATCTGTTTTCTTACACTAGAAACTACTAGATAGCAAGCTGCTATATTTAAACCAGTTATCAATAGCTAAGAGGTACTTAAACAATATTGTAATTCTGGGGCAATACCCTCACAAGTCGAACTGAAAGGCCAGGTTATAGGGAAAACTGTTGCCTGGAGGAAATTCTAAAACAATTTCCATATGTCCATTGCAGACTTTACATGCTGGAAAAACACAGGTGCCAACTGCTGTGGCTTTCTGCATTGTGCATACCGACAAGCAGGGCAGGGTTGAGGAGTGGGTGGAAGATGATGTGGAGGATAATGAGGTCCTAGACCCCAATCAAGGTCATGAAAGTAACGTGTGCAGTTTGGAGGAAGAGGCGCTGGTCGCACAGAGCCACCAGCACAGCATAAGAGGGAGCAGGGTGCAAAAGCGGAGTGGCCATTCCCCTAGCGCTCGTCGGCATGTATTAGCTCGAGAATGACTAGTTATCCAAGTAATACATGTAGCGATCAAAGGATCCATAATAGTCTGCAAAGTTCGGGTTCGTATCAGATATAATGATCCATTCGTAGTTTCACAGTCAGGTGGGCAGTCTGGTGACCAGGACCCAGACACTGTCTGTCTGGCCAGTGGTCGGACAACCGAGACCCAGTATGCCTTGTTACGGTACCTCCAGTAATGAAATGTACAAACCACCGTTTAGCGAGTATTCCCTGTTCGCAATAATGTGGTCTGGTAGCGGGTATAATAAAATCATGCGAACCGCCAGCCAGGGAACACTCCAAACTCCCGAACGGTACCTGTACGGCTAATTCCCTTCACGAGCTGCAAATCCACGAACGGCAAATAGTAACCGAACGTCAATATCTCCCAAGCGGCAAATAATCCAAATAAGTAGTCTCTAGTCGCTGGTAACCAAATCCCCCCAATAACGAGACCAAGCTCCGCTTTGAGGGTAAAACACGAACTGATTTACTGTGGGCTACCTGCCCGGTATTTATGCAGGTCTCCCACCTGGTGGACACTCCCCTAGGGGACCAAATGGGAGACTGAAATTACAGAAGGACAGGGGGACATTTTGGACATACATCCCCACAATATTCCCAGCATGCAGTACAGTTTCCTCCCCTCTGCTCGGGGGATAATTGGGAAGTAACTCAATTATCTCCCCGAGCAGAGGCAATCGCCATTTTAACTACAAGTCACAAAAACACATAAAAATCTATAACTTCATAACTGCCGAACATATTCCATTCGTATTACATATCCCCAGATAGCCTGGATCTGAGTGCATATTATTGGAGAATAGCGCTCAGATCCCATTCGCACAGTTAAATCGCCATGGAGTCAAAGTCTCTTTCAGTTCTTCGGTATGCGATTGACTCCATGGGACGGCTATCTGGGTTAAGTCCATTCGTGTGGTTGAATCTCCCGAACGGCTGACATTCGTATAGTTTTGTCGATTGAGAATGGGAGGTCGACGGCTTCAGCGGTGTTCGACTGAAAAAGTGTCCGTTTTCAGATCCATGAAATAATCGTTGAACACCGGTGGTCTTTCGCATGGACAAAATGGCCGCCGCCTCGTGGTCAACATACGAACGACGACCACCCGGCATTCGGTTTTAATTGAGAAGTGTCTGTGGTTAACCGCAACGTTTTAATTGGGATCAATAGGTTAACCAGCAGCACACTTCTCTTCTGGGTGGCCGTCCGTTCGGTAGTTCCGTTCGACAAAAAACGACATTCCCTTGAATAAAGCATATGAATGGGGAAATTCATTTAACCGGCAAAACAGGCGAACAAAGCATTTGTAATCCAGACAGATGGGTCTGTCACATGCCTGATGTTGAAGTTAGGAGTCACAGTGTGGAATGGATTAGCAGGGTCTGGTGCAGGGTAACCGCACGCCCCCTGGTGTTGAGCAGGACCCTGATGCAGCTTCAGTAAAAAGAGTGCTGGATACCAGAAGCCATCAAAAGACTGATCCGCAACTTGGAACAGGATGTGACATTAACTGTAGCGGCTGTGCGTGCTTTTGGTGTGGTCACCCTGCTGCTCGCCTGTCTGCGCTGCAGCGTAACTTCGGCATTCCCGTTCACTGCCTCATGAGACTGTGCGAGCAGCAGGCGATAGTGGAGTTTCAGCTGCAGCGCGCACGGGTCAGTGGCTCTGCACCAGACTTCCCTCCAATTGATCAGAGTTAAAGGATTTAAAGTGGACTCATTACAATTACAGGGCCTCTAAAGAGTAGTGTATTGTTATTTGTCGTCACTATCTTCCCGCGTCGGGAGTGGGTCATTTGTGCACCTGCTGCCTTACTTGCATGTGGTAGCCGTTACTCAGGTTCCCTGTATGGAATGGAACCCTGGTTCCCCGTTACCCATGTCACCATGGTAGGTGCAGAAACTGGCATCGAAAGTTGATATGGATGACATCCGCATGCAAAGTCGCCGCCACGGGGAGGTTCTCTAGGGTCAACAAAGTTCCTGTGCAACTATAATGTAAACAGCTACTCTGCAGAACAGAGTTGTCATTTTTTTCATATGTCCCAATATTTTGGGGGCTACCACAATTAAAATATATATAAAACCAGTGTTGGCTGCCTCCTCCTCCACCGCCTCCTCAACCTATGGGTCACTTAGTATAAACTAGGTACACATTAGCAGAAGCTTGTGAAGGCCTTTTCTCCATGCATCAGGACTGCAAGAAATGCACCGCAGACCGCAAATGTTTCTTTTTTTTGTTTATCTCAATATTTTGTGGTCTACCACAATAAAAAAAAAAACATAAATAACAGTGTTGGCTACTTCATCCTCCTCTTCTTCCAACACCACGGTCACCACCTCCTCAACGTATGGGTCACTTAGCATAAACTAGGTACATATTAGCAGAGGCTTGTGAAGGCATTTTCTCCATGCATCAGGAGTTGAGCTCAGTTTGAACAATGAAAGAGAATACCCTGCACTCCAACCCTCTCTCAAATGGATAATTCTGGTGATCCTCCTGACAGCCATGCTTTAGATTTTGATTTATGTTCTTCCAAAGCTAAAATCAAAGATTCCATCTAGTGCTATTTTATGGCTCAGCTGTATTTTTTTTTAATTCTTAGGTATTTTATGTTATTTTAAGTGATTTTCCTATCCACATTTGTTTGCAGGGCACTTGTCCTACTCTTTTGTGGCCAAAAGTTCGGGTCCCCATTGACTTCAATGGGGTTCGGGGTCAAGTTCGAGCCCGAACCCCGACTTTTTTTCAAAGTTCGGCCGAACCCGCCTGACCCGAACATCCAGGTGTCCGCTCAACTCTAGCGTAGACTTTTTTCCACCCTTTATTCTGGAAGGAATGTATTTCTATCGGACGTCAGACTAAGATGGAACTTCCTCCGTCTCATATCCCGTTTTTTGGACTGTTTCCCACTTCTGCATGGTGGACACTTTATTAGGATAGGTGCAGCATACCGCTCCTCTATGGACACCCTAGTCGGGACCTCTTATTTATTTCGCTGGCGGATATCCCTAGCAGGTGTGAACTGTTATTTTGGTGCTCACTCGGTTCAGGGCGTGACCACATCAAAGGTTTTTCCGGCGGGTGCTTCGTCTACCAACATATTGCAATCTGCGGATTGGACTAGAGATAGTACATTCCATGTTTGTTCATTCTGTCAGTTTTCTCATGCTTCTTCTGCTCATCATCCACAGCTTTAAAAATGCAAAATATGAAGCCCCTGTTATGTTACAAAATTGTAGATTATGCTAACGCAGTGTACCTATAATCTTAATTTTATTAAGGACAGGAGGTGAGTATTTTACCACCCCTTCCCCCCTCTCTGTTTATATGATTCATTGGTTTGTACTTCAATAACTATTTTAATTCAGGGGTGTGTGTTTATTTAATTATGTGGTTTATTTTATATCACACATCTTGAGATTGCGATTAGTGATGTCGCGAACATCAAATTTTCGGTTGGCGGACGCGAACTTACGCAAATGTTCGCGAACAGGCGAACCGCCATAGACTTCAATAGGCAGGCGAATTTTAAAACCCACAGGGACTCTTTCTGGCCACAATAGTGATGGAAAAGTTTTTTTCAAGGGGACTAACACCTGGACTGTGGCATGCCGGAGGTGGATCCATGGCAAAACTCCCATGGAAAATTACATACTGTATATACTCGAGTATAAGCCGACCCGAATATAAGCCGAGGCCCCTAATTTTACAGCAGCTACTGGTAAATTTCTAAATTAAATTAGATCCCAATAAAATTACATAATTGAATATTTATTTACAGTGTGTGTATAGAATGAATGGAGAGTGTTTGTGTGTATATATAAAGAATGCATTGTGTGTGTGTATATAATGCAGTGTGTATATTATGCAGTGTGTGTGTGTGTGTTTGTGCAGTGTGTGTGTAAACTGGATGAGGGGAGGGCATTTTTATTTTAATTTTTTAATTTTATTATATTATTTTAATAACATTATTATTTTAATATTTGCATTATTGTCCCCCCTCCCTGCTTGTTGCCTGGTCAGGGAGAGGGGACAAAAAAACATTTAAAAAAAATAAATAATGCAAATATTAAAATAATAATAATATAATAAAATATAATATTAAAATATTATATTATTATTATATTATTTTAATATTTGAATTATTTTTTTAAAAATGTTTTTTTGTCCCCCCTCCCTGGCCAGGCAACAAGCAGGGAGGGGGGACAAAAAACATTTAAAAAAAAAAATGCAAATATTAAAATAATAATATAATATTATTTTCATAATATTATTTTATTATTATTAAAATAAAATATTAAATCCCTGGTGGTCCAGTGGCACTGGCAGTTCAGTGGGGGGGGGGGGGCTGACAGGGAGCTCTTACTTACTTTCCTGCAGCTCCTGTTAGCTCCCTCCTCCTCCATGCAGCTCCTCGGTCAGCTCCGTTCTCCTCACAGTGTAAGTCACTGTGAGCAGAACGGAGCTGACCGAGGAGCTGCACGGAGGAGGAGGGAGCTGACAGGAGCTGCATGAAGACTGACTCGAGTATAAGCCGAGTTGGGGTTTTTCAACACAAAAAATGTGCCGAAAAACTCGGCTTAAACTCAAGTATATACGGTAGTTGATGCAGAGTCTGGTTTTAATCCATAAAGGGCATAAATCCCCTAACATTCCTAAATTGTTTAGAATAACGTGCTTTAAAACATCAGGTATGATGTTGTATCGATCAGGTAGTGTAAGGGTTACGCCCGCTTCACAGTGACAGACCAAACTCCCCGTTTAACGCACCGCAAACAACCGCAAACAGTCCATTTGCACAACCGCAAACTCCCCATTTGCACAAGGTTGGATACCAAGCTAGCCATGTCCCGTTCCTTGTCCTCACTGATGTCATTGAAGGTCTCTTCCTCCACCCAGCCACGTACAACACCAAGGGTCCCCAAAAGGTGACAACAAGCCCACTGGGACGCCTGCTGTGTTTGGTCTTCCACCTCCTCAAAGCCACCTTCCTCCTCTGACTCCTCTTCTTCAGACTCCTCTCTCTGCGTTGCCTCTCTCTGCATTATTATAAGGTGTGTTAAGTAGTATTATTCCTATCAGGGGACGTGTATATGGCATCGATTTTAGGAACCGGGAGATGGAAAAAGATGCTTGGTCAGTCCTCCTTCTTCAAATTTGGGGCACTGCGCGTGCAATCTAATGTGCCACCAGATAGGAGTGGTGTGTTAAGTAGTACTATTCTTATCAGTTTAATCCCAATGTCACGACTACTAGTGTGGTCAAGCACGCAGAAACTATGTATACATAGGCAAGAAAAGGAAAATAAAAGGACAGAGCGTAAACCAGACCTTAGAATGGCCGGACTAATACGCTAGAGACAGAGAATGGTCAAAGGGAAAGCCGAGGTCAAGGAAGCCAGAAAATACACAATACCGTTGACACAAGTCAAGTCAGGGAAACCAGAATTCAGAATAACCAGGGAAAAGCCAAGATCAGGATACCAGTTAATCAGATTCACAATGATAAAGCACTCTAAGGAAACCAGGAACAGGAAACCACGACAGGGCAAGGTACTGGGGTGAGCTAGGGATTTAAATATCACTCGGCGGGCCGGCAGCCGCGAAACCCTGTTACGCCCCCCTCATCAGGCCTTTTTTAGTCGAATGTATCACCCACTGTCAGTCCCTTCAGGATCCATCCCTCATTCATAAAGGTGAGGTAATCTAGACTTTTTTGACCTAGGCGACTTCTCTTCTCAGTGACAATACCTCCTGCTGCACTGAAGGACCTTTCTGACAGGACACTTGAAGCGGGGCAGGTCAGAAGTTATATTGCAAATTGGGATAGCTCAGGCCACCGGTCAAGCCTTCACCCCCAGTAGTCAAGGGGTTCATCGCTCCTCAGAGTGTCGATATCTGCAGTTAAGGCGTGGTAGTCTGCTACCTGTCGGTCGAGTCATTCTCTGAGGGTGGATCCCGAAGGGCTGTGGTGATGCGTAGGACTTAAAAAGCTCCACATGTCCTCCATCAACAACACTTCTGTAAAGCGTCCTGTCCTTGCCAGCGTGGTCGTGGGAGGAGGAGATTACTTTCACCTCTTCCCCTGTTAGATTCCCGTTGTGCTGTGACATCTCCCTTATGCGCGGTGTAAAGCATACTTTTTAATTGATTTTGGAACTGCTGCATCCTTTCCGACTTGCCGTAATTCGGTAACATTTCAGGCACTTTCTGCTTATACCGGGGGTCTAGTAGAGTGGACACCCAGTACAGGTCGTTCTCCTTCAGCCTTTTTATACGAAGGTCCCTCAACAGGCACGACAGCATGAAAGACCCAATTTGCACAAGGTTCGATGCCGAGCTACTCATGTCCAGTTCCTCGCCCTTAGTGATCTCACTGAAGGTATGTTCTTCCCCCCAGCCACGTACAACACCAGGGGTACCAGATAGGTGACAACGAGCACCCTGGGATGCCTGTTGTGGTTGGTCTTCCTCCTCCTCCTCAAAGCCACATTCCTCCTCTGACTCCTCTTCCTCACAATCCTCTTCCAGCGGTGCCGCAGGTCCAGCAAGCGATGCTGATAAGGCTGTTTCTGGTGGTTATGGTGACCACAACTCTTCCACTTCCTCTTCACGCTCTTCACAGGGCACGCTCCAGGAAGAAAACAAATGGTATGATGTCGCTGATGGTGCCTTCGGTGCGACTGACTAGGTTTGTCACCTCCTCAAAAGGACGCATGAGCCTACAGGCATTGCGCATGAGCGTCCAGTAACATGGCAAAAAAATTCCCAGCTCCGCAGAGGCTGTCCTAGCACCCCGGTCATATAAATATTCATTAACGGCTTTTTCTTGTTGGAGCAGGCGGTCGAACATTAGGAGTGTTGAATTCCAACGTGTCAGGCTGTCGCAAATCAAGCGCCTCACTGGCATGTTTTTTTGCCACTGGATATCTGAAAAGTGCGCCATGGCCGTGTAGGAATGCCTGAAATGGCCACACACCTTCCTGGCCTGCTTCAGGATGTCCTGTAAGCCTGGGTACTTATGCACAAAGCGTTGTACGATCAGATTGCACACATGTGCCAACTTGCCCAAATGCAATGCCGCCAACAAATTTCTTCCGTTGTCACAAACCACTTTGCCGATCTCCAGTTGGTGCGGAGTCAGCCA